GTAATATCTAACACTTGTGCATATAAGTAGATTTGCAGTCAGGTTATTTAACTAAATTTACCCCTCACAGGTTAAAATGATTGCTGCAAATAAAGTCTAGATTACAGATTTTACTAATTGTGCAAAAGTGAACAAGCAAGTGAAGGAAAATGGCAAAACTGATAACCAACTCTTGGTAGGTGCTCTTCATCAATCACATCACTAGCTAAAAATTTAGCTAATAAAAACAGGTAAGAATGAGCCTAAAATTTTTGGAAAATCTCAAAAGTAACTTTTGAAATATGAAGGTACTATTCACATTGTTAAAGTCAAAGCTTACCTTAAGTATGATTTAGGTGTAGCTAATGCCAGTGGGAAGACTTCATAATTACCAAAGTATTTAAAGACTATGCATTAGGGTCAGCATTGTTAAATCTGGGAAGGGGAAGTGAGAAAATGTTTGGGTCTAAAATAATTCAAGTTAAAAATAATTTTTAAGATCTCTGTGTCAATTTCTTCCTCACAAAGTCATGCATCTAAGACTAGTTTTTTAACAATAATGTTATCTTCCTTCTTCAAAGTACCTACCTATAAGTCCTACAGTGTTTTTTTTTACTAATATCCTATCTTACACACTCTCAAACCTCTTTAGTTTTTCTATATCTTTTTTTAAATGAAGTGCCCAAGAGAGAATAACAAGACAATTTACAAATAAATACAACACAATGCTAACATAGCCAAAAATGAACACTATGAAAGAAGAGACCAGTCAACTATATAACAGTCCCTTATGTCAGTCAACTATGACAGAGAATAGAAAGAAAAAAAAAATCATAATCTCAGAATTTCTAAAAGTTAATTCTCTACCAATTTGTATGTTGTTTCCTCATAAACCTTATGAGCCTTTACAACCACCCCAAGCAAGAAAAAAATTAATAAGAAAAAGGACAAGAACAAGAAAAGCTCTTCTTACTATGACTTCACTGTAGTTTTCCTCTCCCAAGGATAGGCAAGTGACCTTCATGGGTTAACTTAAACTTCTTAGTTATCATCTCAGTTCCATTAGAGCCAACTGCTGCTAATTATTTCACATACATACATACATATACATACATATGTATATACATATGTACATACATACATATATCCCTTCAAAATCAAAGTTAAGAGTATCATCTTTCTGAGCTGGAGAAGAGGGAACAGGTTGTAAAAGATTATGCTGGAAAGCAGAGAAAGATAATTCCAATTTTTTTAAACCTGATTTTAGCCATTAGGATTTGTTTTTCTATAATGTGTCCAAAGTACTTACCTTCCTTTAAGATAATATAAAGTTAACTACAAAATATCAAGACTTACAAAAGAAATCAGATTAAAAAGACAAACCAATATACAAAAAATGAAGCTACTGAGAAGAAAGCCAATGAAAGGTAGAAATGAAAAGTGGAGATAGGCTGCAGGAAGAAGAAACAGCATTATAATCAAAGAAAAAGAAAACAAATTTGTCGCCAAAAAAGCAGCAGTTATGGATGCAAAATACAGTTTTCTGTGTCTTTCTTTTCAAAGAAAGCAATAATGTGGCTGTTTGGAATTAATTTCTGAGACTAAGAGAAAAATTAATTTCAGATCATAAATACAGCCATGGAAAGGTATCAAATATTAAAGACTTTCATGACAAAGACTTGTAGAGATGAAGAATTAAGTGAGGAATAAATAGCCATCACAAAACATCTGAAATTCAACAACACACTTCAAGTTTAGTCTGACCATCACAACTCTCTAGTAACACACACTGAACAGAAACTTTATCATAAAAACACAGGGAAGATGCATGATGAGCTATTTCTATCTCTACCTCACAGGAGCAGCTAGCAAAATCCTACGGGGTTAAAGTCCACCCCATACCCAAGACCAAAAACTACTCCCACCCCACCTTGGCTCAATGGTTTTCTCCCACTGTGGTGAGGGTGGTTTTGGAAAAGCTCCTCAAATGCCAGGAAACACTGTAATACAAAAAGAAAAAACAATTCATAAGTACCAAAGCTTAACTAGTATTCTGGCCACTCTCTCAAGGAAAACTGGTATAGAAGAAAAAGCTCTAATATAGAAATCAAGAAAGCAAAGTATTCTCATTTGGTACTCATTCTAAGATGCTTGCTGTACTCCAAATGACTGGGGGTGGGGCCGGGGGCGGGGGTGGTGGAGTGAACCAACACTCTTTTTGCTAATGGTTACTAAGCTAGTAGATTCAACCCAGAAGCTGCTGATTGCCATCTCTGCCACTAATCGGACTGAAAATGAAGCCATAAGAGAAGTTAACACAACTAAATAGAGACACTACTGAAAATAAAATTTAAGAACCAGACTCCAGTTTTCCCCTGCAGATAGTTTCTCCCTTAATTTGGTCTACAGTGGGTTTCTGTGACTTACAAGGTAATTGGCCAAATTCTACATTAAACCTGAGTTAAGTCATTCCTCATTTATTGGCCTTAGTTTTGTCTTCTAGTAAATGGGCTAAATTTAAGGTTTTCAAAATCTTTTTTTAAGCAGTGGAACTTGTTTTTAAATACCAATCTTATTCTGATACAAAAATTAAATTACTTTCTTCACATAAGTTTATTTTATAACATCAAATTTAAAACATTTACTTGACCAGAACTAATAAGAGCAACAGGTATTCAAATCTCACCTTAAGACCTAACATAAAAACTACTATGTTAGTATAAATGTACTTAGTAAGAGCAACTATATTGTCCAAAATCAATGAGGACAATGGTGTGTTTTAATAAAAATAAAATTTTAATTTGGTAGCCAGTGGTAGAAGTTGAAGCTTTTTATTTGTGTGTCTGGTTTTTGCACATTAGTAAGACAATCCTGACTCCAAGAAAAAAAAGCTGCAAAAAGTACTGTGTGTTTTCTACACCTGTCCTATCTACTATACTAATTAATCAAAAATGAGAAAAGCTTTAAGTTCTACACAAGAAATATGACAGCACAAGTTTTTCTAAAGACATCTCTAAGTTAAAATTTAGTACAATATGGTCAAGCATTCATGTATGCTCGTTTTAGTTTGTTTTAAATGATTCAAACCCTCATTTAAAAACAAAACAAACTTTCACTGAATCCAACTGGTATCTTCATCCTCTAATAATACAGTCTCTAAATCTTTTAGGAACACTTTTGGTCAGCTCATATGTACTCACTGCCCATAGGAAACTGTAATGCAACAAATATAAAACGTTAATAATTCCAAAAGATTTCACTAATTCCTATTCATAACGCTGGGGAGTTCTGAACATAGGCAAATAATGTTGGGTTATTGGAAAAGCCAAGATGTATTTTTCCTATGTGCAAAAATGTTTTGTGACTTTTCTGACAACTCAATAAATAAGAATAAGAATACTCAGTATTCTTACTTAGCCCAAATAAGAATACTCTAGTAATCTATTCAATCTTACTGAATCTGTTCAATCTTACTAAGAACCAACTCATAAAAATATTTATTATACATAAGAATGCCAGTTTAAAATAGATATGAATACTATCCACCTCAAAATGTTAACAGTCTAGCAAAGAATACAATATACTCACTCATTCAACAATACTGTTTCCTCAGTCACAATAGTCACTGTGCAAGCAACTTGGATTAAAAACTAAACAAATACAAATGATCCCTACCCTCATATATTTAGACTTTAACCTATAATATTAGCAGTAGCATATAACCAATGAAGAGTTTTAAACAAAGATAACTGTTATTTTTCTTGAAAGACTGCTTATTACTATGTGAATGTTACTATAAATTGGAGATACCAATTAGAAATGACTACAACAATGACAAAATAACAGGAACTTTAAAAAGGAACAACAAATTTAGATGAGGTATGAAAATAGGAAAGTAACACTGGTTATAGTTCAACCTTGAAAGACAAAGAATAGGCCAGATAAGTAGAGGAAGGGAGTTTATGTAGTAAGAGTAGACCACATGAAATATAAATTTGAAAAATCGCAATAATTTCTTACCGTGGGTCTTAAGTGAGGGAAACCACAGCCAGTTAGAAAGGGAAATCAAGGAAAAGGAAATTTTATAAGAAAAAATCTCCAGAATACCAGGGATCACTTTTTAAGCAAAGTACCAAATAATATGACCAGGCTTACAATTAAAACTCTTCCAGAGACAACCAAAAAAAAAAAAAAGACACAAAGTCCAACCATCAACCATCAATAAGAATGATAAGAATGCATGCTTGCTAACAAGAAACAGTTTCAAAGTCCTGATCTAATGATTTACCATGACAATCCAAAAAAAAAAAAAAAAAACCCAGTCGAAACAAGTAAGCTGAGCTTTAGCAACCAAGTAACTAGTACTAAATTCAAGCCACACTGCAGTTGACATAGCCATTAAAACAAAATAAGGGCAGTCTCTATAGACAAAATACTAGAAACATACCAGTGGCTACAGATAAATGGAATGAAAGAGGAAAACAGCAACTTTAAGAAATAAAGGAGTGGCGTGGAAGTAATAACAGGAAAAAAATTTTTATGTTCTAAGGAGGGTTGAATGAGTTAACAGAAAAAAAAATGTTTCAGAGTAAATATTACTTCTACGTTAACCAATTACACAAAGATCCATCTCTTATGTGTAATAATAAATTGTGGTTTCGAAGACACAGTTCAAAAACCAAATTTAACTTAACACACACACTTAAGAAAATAACCAAACAAAACCTAGATTAGAAACAGCAAGCTATAAGAGGACCAGTTCTACAAAAGCTAGCTTCTCACTGCTTCAAAAGAAAGCTCTCCTGCCTGCCTGACCCATGAAGCATACCAACTGAAACAAAATGGCAGTGGGCAAGAAAAGAGTGGACTCTGTCACAGAAGTTCTTAACCAATGAACTAGGAAAATTCTTAAATGCTCTCATTCCAGTTAGTTTTCTTTATATAGTAGATATGATTCAATATCAATCATCATAACAAATATAATGAAGAAACCAAACATTTTATCTTAAAATAAATCCTACCTTTCCGGGGTCATCCTTGGATCGAGGCACTTTAAGGAAACACTTGTTCAGTGACAGATTATGTCTTATGGAATTCTGAAATTAAAAAACAAAAGCCACAGGGTCACTGGAATCCAAAAAAAAAAAACCCCACATTTAAAAATAGAATCAGAAACCTAACTCTTTCTATGCAATAGAATGTAGTAACAAATGGAACAAGCTTTTAAAATCAGCTTCAAGTTTTTGTCTTTATGACTGTCCAGTTACAAATACTGCAAACGTAGTAGTTATACAGAAGAAATAGTTTCAAATGGATTTTATAAAACACCAAAAATTTGAATATACTGGTTATATTTAAATGTGATAAGACCATCTAATGGTAGGAAGATAGCTATGATTAATGTTAAATATTAAATGCTAAATATAAAATTGCATTTATGTTTGGGATGTTTATTTTCTTTATATATTTGTTCTTAAAGTTAGAAAGCAAACACACACAAAAAAATTCTACATGGAGTTAGAGATGATGGTTTTCTCCCTTTGTCCTTTTTTGCAATATTCAAATGATCTAAAAGGTATTACAAAGCATTACATCAGTCAGAAAGAAAACTAAATGGGAAGACACTGTCTTAAGAGGGTTAGCAAAAGGGCCCTCTCTGGTGGTACATCAGGTTAAAGAGCAGAACTATGAAGCTACTTGCAGCCATTAAGCACCAAGTTCCATCCCAGGCCAGGGAAGTAAGCCATATGGCACAACAGACCTCTTCTGACCCACCCGCTGCACCCCTCAGCAGTGTACTTTGTCAATCTGCCTGTTCTGCTCCCTACTCTGTCTCTGGTGAACCTTCTCAAATCCCCAAACCAGCCGCCCCCACACGCACCTCTGTCCTGTACCCCAGTTCTTCCATGCATAAATAAACCTTTGAAAATTTTTAAAAAGTAGGGGGGCTTAACAAGAAACCTAGGTTTCTCAATGTGGCAGAAAAGAATAGCCAATAGATGGCAGGAAAATGTACCTAGAAAATCTAAAGGAGGCAATCTTTTCACAAGTAAGTAATATTGTGTCGATTTTTTTTAAAGATTTATTTATTTATGCATATAGAAATGAGATACAGGCCAGAGGTGTGGTGGGTGAGAGAATTCACCAGAGACAGAGTGAGGAGCAGAACAGGCAGATTGACAAAAAGTACACTGCTGAGGGGAACACCGGGCAGGTCAGGAGAGGTCTCCGATGCCATGTGGGTCACCTGCAGGGCAGGGATCTAACTCATGCTGAAGTGGCTTTACCTTCTTAGCGCTGTGCTTGAACCCGCTGCGCCACCAGGGAGGGCCCTTAATGTGTCGATTTTCACAAAAAGTACCCAAAGACCATATCTTCTTAAGGAAATACTCCAAAGTCTATTCTATAATCTTGTTCCAAAATGGCCAGGTATCTTATAAAGAAAGGAACTCCAAATGCATCTAGTCACTACTTAGAATTCTTGGGGGGAGGGGGGGGTTGTTGGTGTAATAGTTATCTTTTTTTTTTTAAGATTTATTTATTTGTACATTCAGAACTGGGGTACAGGCCAGAGGCTTAGGGGTGGCGAGAGGCTTCACCAGAGAGTGGGGAACAGAACAGGCAGATCAACGAAGTACACTGCTGAGGGGAGCAGTGGGCGGGTCAGGAGAGGTCTGCCACGCCATGTGGTCTCCTCCGGGGCAGGCGGGAATCGACCTCATGTGGAAGTGGCTTTAGTTTCTCAGTGCAGTGCTTTAACCCGCTGCGCCACCAGGGAGGGCCCATAATGGTTATCTTTTAATAAATAAAATGTAGAACTAGATTAAAACTTTTCTCTCATGGAACAATAATGGTATAAAGAAGTTTTTAAAAGATGACAGAATATAAATTTAAACCTATCTTATTTGCTAAAAGAGCAGTATGAAACTTATGAATGGAAGTTCCACCTGAGCATGAGATGTAAATAGCTACAAAGGATGATTTCTTCCAAACAATGAGAAAACAAAGATTAGTCAGACCTATTTTCAAGCTGCATCAGAGAAGTGAGGTTACAAGGCAACCCAACAAATCATATTCCTAAGAGGGAACAAGGAGAAAGAAAGGGGGGACTAACTGATCTCTGGCAGAGAATGGCAGAAAGAAGAGTCCATCATTCAAGCAGTCAAGAAATCTGCCAAACTTTGAAAGGTTGAGCAGGAAGTAACTGATGGCTACCTTGGAGTGACAAAAAACTCCCCCACCTTTTATTAATCTTATAAATTTAAAAACTCAAGGTTGAGATAGGGACAGCAAAACCTCTCACCCACAGGATATTGGCAAAGAGTGCTTTTGAGCAAGGAAAAATAGAAATAAACCCTTTTAACTATTAAGAAAAGATAGAAACCCTTTTCTCAGGACACAGGCAAAAATCTACCACTGATGAAATAGAGGTAAAAACAAAATGCCTTTATGTCTGGGACAAGCAGCTGAAATTACCTTGGGTCCAAATTTTACATTGATCTGCTACAGATAGGAGAAAGGAAAGAAACTCCTATCCAAAAGCAACTATAGATAAAAGATTAGGTAAACTAAGGGAAAGGACACTGAAAAAGCACCAATCACAAGTCCAAGGGTCTAAATAACAAGCAAATATAGTCTACTGATAGAAGAGGAGCAGGAACATTTAAGACCCTTTATGCTATTTATGTAAAACTCTATAATCTAAATTTCTTTCAAAATGCTAAAAAACTTACATGATAAAAACAGTACTAATTGTAATATTATATTATTTTTTGCCTTAGACTATCGACTTACCTGAACTGTGCATACTAATGTTGGTGAATATTACATTATTTGATACTTTTCGCTAGTCATTCCTATAATATAACTAAGTGCTAACAAACTAATATTCTTTAAAATATAAAATTACTGGCGTAGGGCCCTCCCTGGTGCTGCATGTTAAAGCACAGCACCGAGAGGGTGGAGCCACTTCAGCATGAGTTCCATCCCCGCCCACCCTGGAGGTGATCCGCACATTGGGCAGACCTCTCCTGATCTGCCTTGCTGCTCCCCTCAGCAGTGTACTTCATCAATCTGCCTGTTCCGCTCCCCGCTATGTCTCTAGTGAATCCTCTCACTGCCCCTGCACCTCTGGCTTGTACCCCAGTTCTGTATGCATAAATAAATCAAACAAAAAAACCCTTAATTTCCTATTTTGACATCCTAAAAATGACAATTAGAATTTCATCTTCAATTATGTAAGCCTCCATAAAGTTTTATCTTCCATAGAAAATAATATTAGTGCTTACCATATAAAAGTAATAATTTAAATGAAATTCTTACCTTCCAACCACTGCCAGCCTCTCTATAGTATGGGAAGTTATCACAAATCCACTGGTAAATCTCACTTAGAGTCATTTTCTTTTTGGGTGAGCTATTAATCGCAAATGTAATGAGGCTGGCATAACTGTATGGAGGTTTCCCATCTTTGTGCTGCTGGACTTCTTCCTGGTCCAGAGTTGTATTTGGGTCAAGGAGTGCGTTCTTCTTAGAAATTCCTGTTCCATGTGCATTTTGTGACGCATCAGATTTTTGGATGGCTGCTCTCATGGTGAGCTGTGGTAACCAGTCCATAGATGTTAGGCTGCTCTCCAGTTCAGATGTCATCCTGAAGGTAAATAGACTCCTTAGTCAATATCAAGGAAAGAACCCCTGCTTCTCAAAATATCCAATATTCACAAATCTAGGAGTTCCAAAGTGAGGGAAAGCCTGAGTTAAATCTGGAGGAAAAAGATTGAGCATGTTAATGACTACACCAAAAATTTAAGGGATCAACATTTCCAATCTTTTTTCTTAATTTTTTCCTCTCTGAAATATAAATTTGGTTTTAAAATGTTTAAGATACAGAATGATACATACACAAAGTGATTCTGATACCAATCTTTCTGAAAGAGACTATCAGTCACTTTAAAGCATGCAACTGAATCACAGTTTGAAAAATTCAGTTTGCAGACAAGTTCTTTAATCACCAATATCACAAGTCCTTTAAAAAACTGAAAATGGCATTTCATATTCACAAATTTTAGGGGAATCATACCAGCAAAAGAATATCAAAGGGAAAGTGGAAGCAGAAGGTTAAAGAAATAACTAAGAAACAAGCAAAGGCATTTTCAAGAAGGAAAGAAGGCAGTAGAGCAGGTGGGAGGTAGGAAGAGTAAAGCAGGGTAGACAAGAATAGCAAAGAGACAAGCTAGCTGGGGGAGTTGACCTGGGAGAGGAATGCAAACTCAAGGACACAGATGAACAAGAGAAAAAGAGGCTAGGCAGTATCAGGCCATTAAAAGAAGTATACATATACTTGTATTTGTGTGTGTGTGTGTAAAACAACAGGTAAAAGAACAAGCTTAAGAAAAAATAACTGAAGATCTACGATATAAGAGAGTGAATCATATAAATTGGGACAGCAAAAAAAGGAGCATTAAAAAGCTCGAGGACAGGCTTAGGCAAACTTACAGTGATCTGGATTCTACAATGATCTCTCCAATGATGAAAAATTCAGACGATTACCACCAAGAGAAAGAAAAATGAAAAACAAAATCTACCAGGTTAACACATATTCTGGAAAAGGGAAGAAGCTACTGTAAGAATTGAAAATAAAAATATAGAAACAAAGCTTGACACCTCACACTGGAAATAACTTATCAGCAAAGAGTACAAATCTTTCTATTCTGAGATCAAAGAAGCAAGAACAATGACCATGACAATAAAGTAAAGAAGAATCTCATACAGGATGCTGAGCCGAAATGGCTGCATGCAAAAAGAAATCTGGAATACATGCTGAAGATCTAAACTTCTAGGTGGCAACAGATAAAATGATGAAGAACACAGGCTCTCAAGTCAAACACAACAGATCTGTTTCAAATACTGGCTTCACCATTTACTAGCAGGACCACTATGAAAACGTTTACTAACATCCCTAAATCTCAGCTTTCTCATCTTTAAAATCAAACAATAAAGATATTCTAAAGTTAATTTAAATTATTAATTTGAGAATTAAAAGTGATAACATATACACAGAACAAACACTCAATAAATGTTAGTTAGCTAATACTACTACTCTAGGTGTATCTTAGAATGGTACCAATCCACTGTAGAATAAACCAGATAAAGCAACAACAATTATAAAGAAAGAGACAGGCATGAGGATTCTACCTGCATTGCCAATAGTCCCATTATCTTCTTTTTCAGGTATCTAACCCACAGTTTTACCTTTCTCAATTTCTCAAATTCCCTCCACCTCCATTAGATGCATTCCTCTGAAACCAAACACCTTCACATACATAAAAAACTTGTCATACTACTCAAATCTCAGTTAGAAATGCTTGTTCCCCGCATGAAATAAATTATAAGAAGGAATAAATTATAAGAAAGAAGACAATGTAATTTAGAGATCACAGAATACACCAACAGAATGGGCAAGTACCTTAGAGATTATAGGCTAATCCCCTCAACTTTCAACGTCAAGATGAAGAACCAGGGACTTCTGAAGTCTAAAAATTTGCCAAAATTCTCACACAGTAGTTACCAGCAAAACTAAATCAAAGATTTCCTATGCAAAACCCAGTAGTTTTCCTGTCATTTCTCATTTGCAAAGTGAGGATTAATAATAGAACCTATCTCACTAGTGGAAACCGCTCATAACAGTAGCAGGCAAATAATATATGTTCAGTAAATATTAGCTACTAGTGATGGTATTAATGATAATAGTAGTTAATACTGTTATTGTTCAAATTTCATTCAATAAACACTGGCTATTATTATGCCATGCTATCATCCTCAATCAATCTGAGTAGCTTAATTTTGTTCATATTCCCAAACCAGTTAGTCCTATACGCTTACAAAGTTAGTATCAAAGCATGTTCTGAATTGAAATGTAATCGGATGCAGATGCATCCCATTTACAACCATCTTTAACTTGTTTCCTTCCACCAGCACCACTATTTGAGACTTAATGATAAACACACAATAAGCTGGCAGTTAGTATATATTGCAATACTTAATAAGAAATCTACAGCTACACATATGTGGTTATAATACAGTAAGATTTTATACACACTGGCACAAAAAAATGATAAAGTTCCTGTCTCTAAGAACTAATGGTCCATTTAGGAAAGTCAAACACAACTCAGTAAGTGTAAAGCTGAGCTCTGGGCTGTAAAGGCTCAGAAAAGGGTAAGATAAAATGGACTTAAGAGATGATAGCAAGAACTTCAGCTAAGACTAAAAGAAAGTTAACATTTAAATAGATCGGGAAGAAATCATCAAAGACATCATGAGTAAAAATTATTCCATTTTCTGGAGCTGGAAAAGATCATGCTTAGTGAGATAAGCCAGAAAGAGAAAGAAAAATACCGGATGGTTTCACTCATAGCAGGAGTATAATGGACC